AGTTTCATTAGAACAAGGCAAAAATTGAGAGATTGTATTTCCATAGGTTTATTAATAAAAGAATAGAGTATGAAAGCAAGGACATTGTCCTAAGCCATTGTCTAAAATAAACAGGTTAAACTCAGCTGGAGACATTTTAAGAAGTAAGTCCAAGTCTTCAAGAGGGAGCAGAGATTCACTGTAATGATATTAGGGGTGAGAAGCTTCAATTATGTGAGACAGAGGAGCAGTTGAGATTGTTCTCCTTAGATCAAGATAGTTAAGAGGATATTCCAGAGGTTTCTAAAATAACTAATGGTTTTGATCAAGTAAGGAACATCTGCTTCAATGAGAAGAACCAAAGGACAAGAGATTTTTATGTGGTTGGCAAAAGAAAGAGGGGATATCAAGAACCCATTTTTACCCAGTGAGCTGTGATCTGAGATGCACTACCCGAAAGGCCGGAGGAAGCAGGTTTACTAGTAACATCAAAAAGAATCATACAAATATTTACAAAGGAGAAAATGTACAGGAATCAGGGGAAAAAGAAACACAATATTTTGAATGGATACTTCAATCACACAGTTAGAAAGGACACAATAACTTTGGAAATTAAACTGACTTAAGATTGTATCTTGCTATAAATCTTGTTTAGAGCGTACATTGATAATCACTATGAAAACATGTCTAATGCAAATTCCAATATTAAAGTGTTAACACTGACCTGATATGGCCTTCAGCAGCTGGTGCTCAATGAACTTTCCCATAAAAATTGCACAAATTATGTTCTTTAAGAAAGAAATAATTTTCCTCTCAGCATCTAAAATTGCCATGATCTAAATAAGTTTAAGCCACAAAAATTCAAGAGAAATATGCTCATCCATTGATATCTTTTAGTATCTTCATTAACATTCTGTGAATTATGACAAAATGATTACAAACTTGAATCCTCCAAGCCTTCATTTGTCTTAATTGGCCACAGCTCTATTAAAAACAGCTATCAGACGACAAAAGAGGCGGAGAAACTGCCTAAAATATTAAACGGTAATTTCTTATATTTGACATATAATTCAGTGAGCTGGAAGGAGAGTGGAGAAACTGGATGCTTTAGAAATAAAAAAAATTTCTTATAACTTTCCATACCCTACCAGTGAGCTGCTTGTGTCTCAAAGAGGGTGATGACAACCTGAAACAGGTAGAAACAAGCCTCTTAGAGATAACAGACTAAACAGACCTCCAGGCCTAGCTGAGGGTATGACACAAATCTAATGCTGCAACTTTACTGGAGGCGGCTTAAGCAGGACTTCTGCTCCTGATTGCTACCTGGTGATCCTCCTGCTTGTCCAGGGACTTGCCAACCAAATGGAATCCTCTGTTAGAAGGTGAAGGCTGTTAAAGGAGTAGATGTGAACTGATTTGTCAATGAGCACGTGAAAATTAATGGCCACATTTTTAGCACCTTTCACTACCCAGGGACAGGACAAAAACGCTTTATGGCTAATGAAATACTTTTGAAGTATAGACACTGAAAGATAGAAAATGGGGCAGTAGATTTGCACTCATTAAAGTCCTACTAATAATCAGATAATCGTTTCTTAGTGATGTTGATCGAGGGAAACATTTTGGCCAGGTGACCATAAGGACTTCCCTTATTCCTCTTCTAATAGGGCCTAAGGATGTATGCCTGCTTGGGAGGACAGAAGGAACCTCAATAGAATATTTCATCTGAATAATTGCATCTCTAACCATGCAGCAATCCTTCAGTGATCTGTTGGGACCGCTATGCTGGGCTTCCTTAAGCTTGCAGAATGGAATTTGAGTCCACAATCTTCAGAGGTCAGGGAGCTACTAACTGAGCAATAGCTGACCACGCATGTGGAATTGTACATGCAAGATTTATTGAATCACAGCAATTTGGAGGTGCAGTATGCTGGATATGCACAATGATGGTTAGGCTACCCCCTTACCTTAAATCTATGCCTCCAGTCACCGATCCCACCACCAACAGAGAGGAGTAAATTACTGCAGATGCTGGAATCTGTGCTGAAAACAAAAAGTACTGGAAATCGCAGCCGGTCAGGCAACATCTGAGGGGAAGCAAGCTATCGTTTTAAGTCTAGTTGACTCTTCATCAGAGCTCTGATGAAGAGTTATCTAGATGCGAAACGTGAACATGCTCTCTCTCCACAGATGCTGCCTGACCTGCTGTGATTTCCAGCATTTTTCTTTTCACCACCAACATTTAGGATTCTGTCTGTCTACCCTATCTATGACCCTCATAATTTTATACATCTCAGTCATGTCCCCCTTCAATCTCCAATGCTCCAAGAAAAACAACTGCAGTTTATCCAATCTTTCTTCATAACTAAAACTCTCCAGTCAAGGTGACATTTTGGTAAATCTCCTCCACACGCTCTCCAATGCAATCACATCCCTCATATAATGTGCTGTTATTGTGATTTAAAACATTTCTGCACAGCAGTCATTGAGGATTAAGGTTTAGGACATAAAGGCAGTAATCAGTGGAGGTAAACAAGATCACAGGTTTAAGGTTTTCTGCTCACTGACTTGATCTCAGATGGGATAGCAGTTAGGCTTCCATGACATGCCATGGTACCAAGGGACAGAGCGAGTGAGAAAAAGCATCTGTTGAAAATCAAACTCTTACTAGCATTTCCACAGAAACAGCTGAGAATGGGGTCACACTCAGCCAGGATGTTCTCATAAGATTTTTTTGACCAGTTGTATTCCTTAACATTAATCAGTGACATTGAGAAAAATTAAAGCATTAACAAAGAATTAAGGTTTTGTGGAACATTTAGGAGGCTGTATTCTTCAATATGACAACTTTTGTTAAGAGCTGAAAACATGTGTTTACAAGCTGTCTTTGCAGATCTAACAGTTCATCTCTCAAGTACTGGACAGCAAGAAAAATAACACATTGCCACCAATAACTCTTTCAAACAGCTCTGATAGACCTCATGGACTTTTATGTTCCAATGTTTTTTTCTTGTGGCAATGGAACTACTTGTCACATGGAAAAATCATGACTGAGGTATCCAATTTCCATCGTTTGATAGTGCAACATCTTCAGAGAATCACAGAATCCCTACAGTGCAGAAAGAGGCCATTTGATCCATCAAGTCCACACCAACCCTCTGAAGAGCATTCCATGCAGACCCAGGACCCTGCTCTCCCACCCTATCCCGATAACCCCACATTTCTCATGGCTAACCCACCTAGGCTGTACAACCCTTGACAGTACGGACAATTTACCATGGTCAATACACCTAACCTGGATGAACGGATGCAACTAATTTACTAGAATCCCAATAACAAACCACATGAAACTGAGCTTCACAGTATAGTGTCCTAGGCCCAACCATCTTCAACAACTTACCCTCCATCATAAAGTCAGAAGTAGGAATGTCTGTCGATGATTGCACGATGTTCAGCACATTTGAGACTCCTCAGAACTGAAGCAGTGAATATCTAAATGCAGAAAGACTCGACAATATCCAGGTTTGGATTGACAAGTGTCAAGTAACATTCACGTCACATGTATGCCAGGCAATGACAGTCTCCAATTACAGACAAATCTAACCATTGCCCCTTGATATTCAACTGCATTACATCACTGATTCCCCCAATATCAGCATCAGGGAGGTTATTATTGACCAGGTACTGAATTGGACTAGCCATACAAATACAGTGGCTACAAGAGTAGGGCAGAGGCTATGAATACTGTAGCGAGTAATTCACCTCCGGACTCCCCAGAGCCTGTCCACCATCTAAAAGGCACAAATCAGGAATGTAATGGAATACTTCTCATTGCCTGAATGGGTGCAGCTCCAACAACACTCAAGAAGCTTGACACCATCCAGGACAAAGCAATCTGCTGGACTGGCAACACATCCACTCCCTTCACCACTGACACTCAGCAGCAATTGTGTGGACCACCTACAAGATGCATTTCAGAAATTCACCAAAGCTCCTTAGTCAGTACCTTCCAAACCCACTACAACTTTCATCTAGAAGGACAAGGGCAGTAGATACAATATCACTGCCTGCACGTTCCCCTCTAGCCCACTCACCGTACTGACTTGGAAATATATTATCATTCCTTCACTGTTGCTGGGTCAAATTTTTAGAACTCTTCCCTTATGAGATTGTGGGTCTACCTACAGTACATGGGCTGCAGCGGTTCAAGGTGGTAACTCACCATCACCTTCTCGAGGCAGCTAGGGATGGGCAACAAACGCTGGCCCAACCAACAATGCCCACAGTCTGAATGAATAAAAAATAATGACTTATTCCAAGCTTTTAATTTCATTTAACCTTTTTAGCCCCTCTAAATATCATGCACGTTGGGACCGAAGTGAAAGTAAAAAACTTGCATTTTTATAAGGTATTTCACAATATCAGGAATGTGACTATTTTTTTTCCTGCAAGTGTAGTCTGTGCACTGCAAGGACACACACAAATAGCAATGACTTGATGACCAGATAATCTGTTTTAGTGTGTTTGGCTGAAGAATCATGAATTCGTTTGAGTTGCTGTGACAAAGCTTTGGTTTAACATCTCATCCAAAAGAAAGCAGCACTCTAACAGTGGAGCAATGCCTCCCCATATTTTCACTGCAAGCTTTGGCCTAGATTTGGTGTTCAAAATTCTGCATTGGGGCTTGAACGCAGAAACTTCTGACTCAGAGTTGAGATGCAACCCACTGAGCCAAGGCTCTTCAAATCGGAGGATAACAAAATGTCAAAAAGGGGAAGACAATGAGAATAAAGGCACAGTGAGAGAGGAAGGTGTCTTTCATTAAAAAAAATTTATTGATTGTATATACTTTCCAATAGTAACAAAAGCAACATTGTTTATCATGGACTTAATCCATTACTCCATGGAGACAGCATTGTTCGTAAAGCTCAGAGGTTTGCCTATGGTTATTCACCCTTTGTTGGGTAAATTTGCAGAGTCCACGTCGACGCAAAGCACAATTTCTTGAAATGATGGAATTGACTAATTTTTCTTAAACCCAGATTTTATAGTCAACCTTGTCAGTGTTACATTCTCAAATTACTGCCAAATATTCCACTAGGAATAACCAGCATAGAGTATACTAATGGCACCAAAGAAATCTGGAGATCCTAGCAAAATTTAAATCGTGTCGAAAGCCAAGGGGCTTCAAAATTAATTAGATGCTAAATTATAAAAATGGACTGAAGAAACGGAGCAGTAAATAATTCTTGAGAGAAAGTAGCTAAAGCAAAGCATCAGAATAAGCCAAAAGTTAAAGATTCTTGAACATTCTCACAAGTCTTAGAGTGACAAAGATAGAAAGCATAGTCTGAAGGGTTTCGTTAGGTTACTTCTTTTAGCCTCACCGACATTTTTCTCACCATCCCTCAAGATGTTAACTCTGATGAATTACAGTCCATAGGACAGTGCCTGAATAAATATTAATGTGAGCCTGCAGGTCATCCAGCTATGGCCAGAACCACCAACTAAAGCCTATCTTACTGCCACCAGCTAAATATCACTTGCCATTAGAGCAGAAAGCCAAATCAAGTTTCCTCTTTCTAATTAAAGGCACCCACCTCCACTGCTAGCTGAATAAATGACCGTTTATTCCGGTTGGATATTCTGATCACTGACTAATCACCAAAATCTCAGCGGAATTAGGTCATTCCCTCTTATTGTACAAGCTTTCTGACAACTTGGAAGAAAATGCAACAACAATTAAAGAGTTTCTGAAGAGCAGGGAAACTCTCAGAAATTTGCATTAGCCATTCATAGCCTGGATTTAGTTCAAAAAACATCAATATTTTATTTTAGCTGGAGTGTGGTAGAAGAATAAACACATCGTTCATCCCAGATAATTCAATTTCCAGTCAGAATTAGTGTTCAACTTCAACAGACTAAGTCAAATTTCTATGATAAAAGTTTTACACTTTGTACACTGGCCTGTGATCAGTATTCAGAATCTAACAAAGCAGTAACCATACTTCTTTCAACCAGCTCCGAGCATGAAAATGACGGCCATGGTGCTTTTACATGAAGCCTGCATTAATTCATCACATCACTTAAACAGAAACCAAGTCAAGGTCAGGTTTTAGAAGTATTCTAACAAACTTCAAACGTGAGGATGCTACCTCTGCCTGGTGCCCAATTTTCCTGGTGGAGTCTTGGCAAAGGTTGAACAAATTAGAACCCTCAAATATTCTCTTACATTCAATTCCAGCCTATGTTGTGCATTATAGAGAATTTTGAGAGATTATGACCCCTCCCTTGATGACTGGATAATGGAACAAAACTGAGGCCACATGCAGCACCACCACAGCTAAGATCAGCTAAAATGATGTAAAATAGACATTAAACTGTTGGATCGCTAAGTCTTAATCTAGCTGATTCAACTACACATTGGATGAAGACTTATGATCATCCAGGGTGTCAAGGGGGGCAGGCAGGTAAGTGGAGATAAGGCCACAATCAGATCAGCCAGGATCTTATGAAGGGCAGAGCAAGCTCAAGAGGGCAAATGGCATCCTACTGCTATTTCTTACACTCTTGAGTAAAGCATGCTTCACCACAAAAGAAGCAGTCTTGATACTGGAGACCAGATGTATTCAAATTGCCAACCACACAGCTAAATGGCAGAATTTCCTATAAGGCAAAGTGAGGGGAGTAAAGAAGATTATAAATTTCCTATTGTTTCCCTCCACTACCAATCCCGCCCCAAAACAAGAGGTGACTTATTAAGTCATGTTGACTGCTTGCCCCAACTCAAAAGAAGAAAATCCAAGTTAAATTTCCTCCATTTGCTGCCTGCATAATGTATTAAATGCAAAACACAAAATTAGAGCGTGAAATGTTTTATCATAAGGAGCAGCTGAGGCAGAAACCATTGCAGCTTTTGAAGTAAAATCAAGTTATTTAAAGCAGAGCAAGAGACAGGGATAAAAGGACAGAGCCGGGGCCATGGAATCATGTTTGGGTTACTCTGGTGCAAGTTTTGTAAAACTTCAAAACGTTTGTAACATTTGTAAAAGTAATGTTCTGTACATTTTTATTTCAATAAAGACAAAATGACAAACAGCATAAAGAAAGATGCCCAGATGCCCTAAAGGTATTTAAATACATCTCAAAGGTTATCATTAAAGTGAATCTGTAGTAAATAGATTCCTGCAAGCAAAATACCTTTCTTTAAATACAAAATCAGTATTTCTCTGAAATGCAAACGCTTTTCAAATTATTTTCTGCAGAAAAACCTGCCATGATTAAAATATTTTAATGAAGGATAAAAGGGTTTTCTTCCTCCCGACAAAAACAGGCTTATTTCTACATGCTAGATTTTAACATTTCAGTGTCACAATGTGCTAACTACATACACAATAGATAATAGTAAGAAAAACGCTCAACCTGATGAAAAGTTAAAATCTTCATTAATACACTGAAAAAGTAGACATAACTCATGCCTTTTGTAAAATCAAAAATACAAAAATTAAACCGCTTTCTTTAAAAAGATTTTTCCTTATTTTAAGGATATTTTTTAAATGAAGCTGCATGTAGTTTTGTACAAGAAGGTTTTGTACAGGTAAACTGGTAATATACATAAAAAGATTTAACTGGCATCCTCCTCATTCATGTACTGCTCACCTTTTCTTTGCGACCACACACCTCGTCCTGAACAATCTTCTAGAGTTTTAAACCAAAGAAAATGCATCTAGCTTCTTTCCACAAAAAAGTGCCGCTTTCTCCAACTTCCTGTTAGGAAATGAATCATCCATGGTGATGCCTGTGGCATATCGATGCAGTCTAGAGGCAATTCATGCTATGTTCCTGCGAGAAAATGATTCTGTGGAAAAAGTAAGCCAGCAAATGGACCAGCAAATAGGGCAAAACATTTTTACAGGGGGCCAGTTAACTAGGACCCACAACCAGTAGCTTCTTTTGGATTGTAGGTTGTGGGAGACAAGGAGGGGGGAGTTTGGGACGGGTTGAGGTGGTGGGAGGACACAGAAACAGGGAGAAGGAAGAACAGCCAGAACACAGACCCACATGTTTGGTTAACACATTGTTATACTCCTGATGTGCCTGCCACCACTGTTCTTGCTAGCAACATGCTTCTTTGAAGAATTTTAAAAAGTGGTATGAATGTTGAATTGTGACAGTAGACCAGAGATTGAGAGGATCCTGAGCCTGTTAGTTTTAGTTACAATTTTGCTAATTTCTTCCCCACCCACATCCTCTCATCCCCTACTCCCACTATCAATTCCACAAAAAAAAACTGAAGGATAATGTACAGTCACAGAGAGGTTGTGCAATTTATGACTTTCGAATCAAGACTAAAATTTGGTTTCTATACTCAGTACTTCAGTATCAGTCTCTTCTCTTCTTTGTGCCCACACTCCTTCCTTAAAAGGTTATAGCTGCTGTTGGTGAATGCTCCTGTTCTTCAATATAAATAAAGTCGTATGTTATGTATCCAATTAAATTTTGACTAATCTATAGATTCTTTATTTTAACAAATATACATTACTTCACAGGCAGACAAAGCAGGAAGGTGATGAATCAATTTAGGAAAGATTCTCGCTTTTGTTTTAGAGGGCATTGATAAGGGATCTACATTACATTATCGTTAAAAGGAATGCTTTTATAACTCAAATTTATTTTATATACTAGGAAAAGCATAATAACCTAAAACCTGAACCATAAAATTTTTGTATTTAATATACTGGCCATTCCTGTTGAAATGAGACCTACATTTTAAAAAGCAGGTACAGACCCACTTTAAAAAGCACCACAGAGAGGGAAAATAGAATCAGTTTTCTCCTCTTACGTAAACCTGTGATAATACAGGTTAAACAAAATGCTGGTGGCAGAAACAGAAGTACTTTTACAAAGTGTTGATTTTTTATGTCACAAAGAAAAGCGCTAACCATTTATAGCTGATACAGTCAGAAAGTCTCATCAACATGTATTGCAACAGACCACAGCATTTCAAACTTGTTATCCAGCAGTCTTCAAGAGCACACCAACTGGGACAAGTGAACATCTATTGCGTACTATATATGTGCTATCTAGATCTGCGTTTTGGATTTTTGACTGCATATACCATTTCCTTTTTTGATTTAAAAAAACCCTGCATTATCCTCTCCTGTTCAGACCCACCTAAAACTTCAAGACTGAGTTCACTCTCTGCAACCCCTTGGTTAACTGTGGGTGTCCAAGACAAGAAAAGCAAGACGAGGTACAAAAACGCAAATTTCAACAGCAATGGCAATGTCTTGTTGTTCAAAGGGTCCTGCTTTTGTCTTCTCAGCCCCCTTCATTGATGGTGTTGACACTCTGTTCTTAATCCGGAGGGAGTAAATCGTGCAGACGAAATTTCTCTCTGATATGAGGTCGAACATCTTCATTCTGAGAACAGTAGATTAGAGAAGTAGGTCAGTTTGAAATTTGGTTCTGATCACAGCACTTCTGCTTCACTGCCAGAAAGTGGAATCTCCCATTTAAATTAATCCTAGTGGCGGTGTGGTGGGGATGAGGTCAAAAAAACATTCCTTGAAGTGCTTTAGCGGCACTGTCAGTATAGGTTTGGGCAGCAAATGAAGCATAATTTAGCAATATCCACAGAACGTGAGATGTCAAATGGTTAAAAATTTTTTGTTTATGATACACAGCTTATATAGACACTCGTGACCTGAGCCAATGTCAGATGGCCAGCAAACAGAATACAATAGAATAGAATACAGTAGAATAGAGCTTTCTGTGAAAAGTACTCTTATTTCTGCTGGTTTTTATTTGATCTCCGTTTTAACTCAGAGGTCCCAGCAGAATTACTTGGCCAATACCTGACATAAGACATCTCCATTTGCATTTCTAATAGGGGTCACTAGACAGAAACAGGGACCAGATACGTTGGGCGATTTTCCTGACTTTTGAAGGCATTAGGACCAACAGCAGCACTCAGTTATTATATAATTTATATCAGCCAACTCACACAGACCAATCATCAGATATTGGATATTCCTCTGATTAGGAAGTGTTGTTTTTTACTTTGAAAATAGAACTTTTAAAAATTAATTTAAATCAACTGGCCTAACAACAAACTTTGTAACTTACCAGCTCTACAAGTTTCTCTAAAAAGGGAATCAATTTCAAAAGTTCCGTGTCATTCTTATCCATGAACCAGCTCTCAATCGGAATTCCATTGGACAGCTGGGAGCAAAGGAATGAAAGAACGTTTTACCATGGCTGTAATAGGTTCATTGTATTTCACTGACTACAGCAGAAACTCCAATACAACAGCTCCCAATTTTCACACCAATTAAACCTCCAACTGGACCAGCCAAGCTTTTTACTCATAATGAGGTCATCATTAAAAATGGACAAGTAAAAAATTGTAACAGTACTTTCATATACTTAAACCCAGTTCACACTCTCAGTTTACATCAATTTAAGTTGTTTTTCAAAGTTTTTGCCTATAGAATACCATTCCCAATGCAGAAAACAGCCAGAGATTACTGCAAAGCTAACTGCAAGTGCCCCAAATCATGTGCATGCTGATGCTTGACACAAGATCCCACCCAGCTCCACCAAAGAAAGATGTTTTCATAAAATACTCAGGGAATATAAACAGGCCATTAGCTCCACACTAGCACACCACTGTTTATGTTCCACAAATGCCCCTTCGCACCCTCTGTTCAGCTAATCCCATCGGAATATCCTTGGTTTCCTTCCTCCCTCAACGTTTCAAATCGATCCTCCCCTTAATATACTGTTCATTGTGCTGGTGCAAGTGTGTTCCACATTTTAACACTTTCTGGGTTTTTTTTCTAATTTCAACCTACTAATGGCCATCTTATATTTGTGGCCACTAGTTCTAGTCACATTTGCAAATGAGAATACCTTTTCTACATCTATCCCACTAAACCACTTCACAATGTTACAGAGATCTATCATCACCTCTCAGTCTTCTTAATACTATTATTTAGAGTTAAGCCATTAAATTGTATGTCCTTCTGAATCATTGGTAGTCTGTGATAAAGCTTTTTTACATAATCGAGGTTTGTTAAAGCAACACTGTGCTTTGCATTATACTCTTCAAATAGCCCACCCACTGAAACTGGTGGAATTAAAACAACATAAATTAATAGAACGGAAAAGATACCCAAAAATATTTTTGAAATACTAAAATAAAGATGAAACACATTATGCAATCTGTAAATAAATATTGTAAAGGTTACATTTTAAGCTCACTTATTCAGGGTAAAAAGCATAAGCTTTGCTTAAAAACTGATTTCTTTTTTTCTTTCCTTTACTCTCCTTTTAGTTAAATGTCTCTTGCACCCAAAAGATTGAGGAATACAGGTATAATTACTTGCAGATCAGATCCAACTTTAGCTAGCTGCCAGCTATGTGATAGCAGTCTAATGTAACTTTTTGAATATGCCTCATTTGGGAAGCCTGGTCTCCTCACAGAAATGGTTGGAATCAGAAACCCGTGCCACTAAGAAACTTAAGTGGTCAGATAAAAACCTGCAAATGTTGTGGGGGAAATAGGACTATCACCTGAGAGACAAGAGTTGCACCACTTGCCATTTGCAATCTCAGATGGACACATAAGTTACTCATTCTGAAACTAAATTATATTGATAGTATTTCTATGAAGTAAGCACCAAAATAGCCCCAACACAACAGAGTTCTCTAGGCATACGAATCCTGTCACTGTTCGATAATTCTTGGACTGACCTGGTACGCAAAGGCTTGCGGAGAGTTGTCAATAATGATTGTTTTTGAAAGGTCTCTTCCCAGAATATTCAAATCCTTTATGTAGTTTCCCTGCACACACACACAATGCTCACGGAATAGCCTGTGCCTAGGTGACAAAGTATATTGAACATTAAGTATAACAACAACCTTAGAACTAGAGCCAAGATTAAGAGTAGGATACATTCAAAGAAAAAAACATCTCAACACCTAAATACATGGGTTTTAAAGGCAGACGTAAAAGTAATCATCTGAGCATGTCTCCCTTCTGGTAGGTATGACAGAGACCTGATTACATATGTATAATGGATCATGTTCTGGTCAAACTGCAGAAAGTAATGAAAAGTGTTGTAAAATTTTTCAAAAACGTTTTCCATACCATATTCGTATCTCACTGGCCTCTGGACATTGGGCACTCGATGAGAACAGTACTGAATGTGTTTGCAACATGGCCTGTCACCATATAGCCAAATTTTATTTTTCAGTCACTCATGGAATGTGTGTATCACTGGCTGGCCATCATTTATTGGCCATCCCGAGTTGCCCTTGAAAAGGTGAGCTGTATTCTTAAACCGCTGCAGTCCATTTGTAGCAGGCTGACTCACAATGCCCTTAGGGAAGGAATTCCAGGATTCTGACCCAGTGACAGTGAAGGAACAGCGATACATTTCCAGGATGGTGACTGGCTTGGAGGGGTGCTTGGAGGTGGTGATGGCCTCATGCATCTGCTGCCTTTGTCCATCTAAATAGAAGTGGCTGTCAGCTTAGAAGATGCTGTCCAACGGTCTCTGAATTTCTGCAGTACACACTGCTACTACTGAGCATCGGTGGAGGAAGAAGTCGATGCATGTGATGTGTTTCCAATCAAGCAGGCTGTTTTGTCCTGAATGGTGTCAAGCTTCTAGAGTGTTGTTGGATCTGCACTCATCCCCAGGCAAGTGGGGAGTACTTATGCCATGTAGAAGATGGACAGACTTTGGGGAGTCAGGTGGTGAGTTACTCACCACCGGAAAAGATAATGGCAAAAATAACCCTATCAACAATGCAAAGTCCTCCTTACTAACATCTGGGGGCTAGTGCCAAAATTGGGAGAGCTCTATCACAGACTAGTCAAGCAACAGCCTGACATAGTCATACTCACGGAATCATACCTTACAGACAATGTCCCAGACACGACTATCATCATTCCTGGATATGTCCTGTTCCACGCGTCCAGTTAAGTTTCTGGTCAATGATAACCCTCAGGATGCTGATAGTGGGGGATTCAGTGATGGTAACACCCTTGAACGTCAAGCAGCAGTGATTAGATTGTCTTATTGGAGACGGTCTTTGCCTGGCATTTATGTGGCGCTAATGTTACTTGCCATTTGTTAGCCCAAGCCTGGATGGTGTTCAGATCTTGTTGCATTTGAACATGGACTGTTTCGGCATCTGAGGTGTGATGATGGTGCTAAACATTGTGTAATCATCGGCAAACATCCCTATTTCTGACCTTATGTTGGGGGAAGTGCATTGATGAAGGAGCGGAAGATGGCTGGGCCTAAGACACTACCCTGAGGATCTCCTGCAGAGATGTTATGGAACTGAGATGATTGACGTCCAACAACCACAACCATCCTCCTACGTGCCAGATATGTCTCCAACCAGTGGAGAGTTTGTTCCCTGATACCCACTGATTCCAATTCTGCTAGGGTTCCTTGATGCCACGAATGAGGCTTGATATCAAGGGCTGTCACTCTCACATCACCTCTGGAATTCAGCTCTTTTTTCTGTATTTGAATCAAGGCTGTAATGAGGCATGGAGTTGAGTGGCCCCGGCAGAACCCAAACTGGGCATACTGAGCAGGTGCTGCTTGATAGCACTGTTGATGACACCTTCCATCACTTTACTGATGATCAAGAGTAGATTGATGGGATGGTATTTGGCAGAGTTGGATTTGTCCTGTTTTTTGTATACAGGACACACCTGGGCAATTTGCCAGTGTTGCAACTACTAAATAAAAAAATCCAGTGCCTCCACCTGTTTCTAGATATCACATGGGGTGACTCATATTGGCTAAAGGCTGGTTTCTGACATGTTGGGGACCAGTGAAGGAAGTTGAGATGGATCATCCATTTGGTACTTCTGGCTAATGATCGCTGTGAATGCTTCAGCCTTATCTTTTGTACATACGTGCGGAGTTCTTGCATCATTGAGGATGGGGATATTTGCAGAGGCTCCTCATCCAGCCAGTTGCTTAATTGTCCACCACCATTCACAACTGGACGTGGTAGGACTGCAGAGCTTTGATCTGATCCACTGTCTGTGCCTTACCTTTGTCTATCACTTGCTGCTTATGCTGTTTGGCACGCAGGTATTCCTGTTTGGTAGTTTACCAGATTGATCCCTCATTTTTACGTATACCTTGTGCTGCTCCTGCACTCTCCACTGAGTTGATCCCCTGGCTTGATGGTAATGGTCAAGTGGGGGATATGCCAGGCCATGAGCTTACAGGTTGAGCTGGAGTACAATTCTGCTGCTGTTGATGGCCCACAGCACCACATGGATGCCCAGTCTGGAGTTGCTAGATCTGTTCGAAGTCTGTCCCATCTAGCAAGGTGGTAGTGCCACACAACACAATGGAAGGTATTCTATTCTCTACATGAAGGCAGGACTTCATTTCCACAAGGACTGTGGAATGGTCACTCTTACCGACATGGTCATGGACAAATGTATCTGCAGCTGGTAGACTGGTAAGGATGAAGTCAAAAACAAATTTGCTGGAAAAGCTCAGCAGAACTTCTGAAGAAGGGTCACCGGACCTGAAATGTTAACTCAGTTTTATGTTAACTCAGTTTTTTCCTTCACAGATGCTGCAAGACCTGCTGAGCTTTTCCAGCAAATTTGTTCCTGATTTACAGCATCCGCAGTTCTTTCGGTTTTTATTAAGGATGAAGTCAAGTATGGTTTTCCCTCTTCTTGGCTCCCTCATCATGCCCTGCATCTCCATTTCTTTTGGCAGTTCAGTCCAGATGCGACCCATTCTCTGCATGAAAAAGGTGTCCCTCAGGTCCCTGTGAAATCTTTCTCCTCTTACCTTAAAAGTATGCCCTCTAGTTTTGAACTCCCTTACCTAGACAAAAGACCTTTGCTATTCACCTTATCTATGCCCTTCATGAATTTATAAATCTCTACAAGGTCACCCCTCAACCTCCTACACTCCAGTGAAACAAGTCCCAATCTGTTTTTATGAAAAGTGCAGGATGGCAGGCTAGAAGCAGCACCAGGCACATCAAAAAAGGCATCAACATCGCAAAGCTACAACAGAGGAATAGTTGCTTGACAAACAAAATAACCAGCAAGTGATAAGACACAGCTAGCGATTCCACAACCTAGAGATCACATCTATGCTCCGCAGTTCTGCCATATCCAGTCATGAATGGCAGTGGACAATTCAATAACCCGCTGGAAGATGTTGCTTCACAAATATTCCAATCCTCATTGACGGGACAGTCCAGTACATTTGTAAAAAAAGATAGCACTTGCAACAATCTTCAGCCAGAAATACTGAATGGATTATACATCTCTGCCTCCTCCTCAGTAAGTCCCCATATCACAGGTGCCAGTCTTCAGCCAATTCAGTTCATTCCACGACATCAAGGAACAGCTGAAGGCACTGGATCCACAAAGTCTTTGGATTCTGACAGTAATAATGAAGTCTTGTGATTCAGCACTTGTCACTCTCCTAGCCAGGCTGTTCCAATATAGCTACAACACTGGCATCTATCAGGCAATGAGGAAAATTGTCATGTACATCCTGTACACAGAAAGCGAAACAAATCAAACTTGGTCAATTAATGTCCCATCAGTTTACTCTTGACCTCCAATAAAGTAAGAGAAGCGGTCATCAATATTATCAAGTAGCACTTGCTTCGCCATAACCTGTTCAGCGACGTTCAGTTTGGGTTCCACCAGAACCGCTCAGCTCCTGATTTCATTACAGCCTTGGTCCAAACACAGGCAAAAGAACCAAACTCCAACTGTGAGGCAAGGGTAACTACCCTTGACATTGAGACCACATTTGCCCAACAGCACTAGTTCCTCAGGGTAGTGTTTTAGGTCCAATAGCTGTTCCATCAGTAACCTTTCTGCCATCATAAGGCCAGAGGTGGCAATGTTCACTTATGATTGCACAATGTTAAGCACCATTCGTGATTCTTCAGATACTGATGCAATCCATGTCCAAATACAACAAGACCTGGACAACATCAGGTGACAGGTTACGGATACATTTGCTCCACACAAGTGCCAGGCAGTGAACATCCCAATTACAGTGAATCTAACTACCAGCCCTTGACATTCAATGACATTACCATTGCTGAATCCCCTACTAACAACGACTTGTAGATTACTATTGGCCAAAAACTGACTGGACCACTCATATAAATACAGTGGCTACAAAAGCAAGTCCAAGTCTGGGAATCCTGCAGCAAGTAAACACCTCCTGATTCCGCAAATCCTGTCCATTATTTACAAATCATAAGTCAGCAGTCTGATGAAATATTCTGACTTGATTGGATGAACACAACTCAAAGCAACACTCAAAAAGCCTGACACCATGCAAGACAAAGCAGCCAGTGTGATTAGCCCATATCCACAGATATACACTCACTCCACCATAGGTACACAGTAGCAGGTGCGTGTGCCATCTACAAGATGCACTGCAGAAATTCACCAAGGCTCACTAGACATCACCTTCCAAACAAATGACCATGACCACCTTGAAGGACAAGAACAACAAATACATGGAAACACCATCACCTGCAAGTTCCTTTGCACACCATTCACCATTCTGACTTGGAATATATATTACTATTCCTTCACAGGAGGTGAAAATTTTCCAACTCTCTCCCTAACAGTATTGTGAAGGCATCTATACCAAAGACACTGCAACAGTCCAAAGCAGTAGCCTGCCATCATCTTCTCGAGGGCAATGAGGGATGGTCAATAAAGGTTGGTCCAGCCAGCAAAGCCCACATCTTCCAAATGAATTTAAACAAAAAAGACACGGTATGGAAATTTGGCTGTTTGCCTTCAACAGCTAGCAGAGACATGGTGAGCTGAATGGCCTTCTGTACTGTAATCTTACAAGACTCCATGCAGCACCTTAAACACAGCAAAACGTCCCAAAGCTAAGTCACAGGAGTACGGTCAAATAAAATCAGACTGTAACTAACAGAGAAAGATACTAAGTCAAGTATGGAAACGTTTGTTCAAAGTAGTGAGTACATCTTAAAGAAGTGGCTTGGAGGATTGATGGAGGGCACTTCTAGGTTTTGGTACCTGAAGATACATTTGCAGACTGTGGACCAATTAAAACCAGAGGTATGTAAGAGGCCAGAAATCTTCAAGGAGATTAAAGAGATAGAAGTCAGGAGACTGACAAATGAATTTTCTCAGATGGGAACTTGTCCATGTGGTAACAGTTATTTGTGGGCTGTGCAGAGGATGAAGATAGGGATGGCTTACAATGTCAAGGCTATTACTGCTTCTTTTTACACTAACATTCTGTTCACTATACTACAAACATGGGCACTTACCTGACCAGCTGCTTTTTAGGGTCCAAAATATTCAGTAATTTGTCTGCATAGACTTTTTTGGAGGCAGTGAACAGAATAATCTGCAAGATGATCAGGGCAAGATTACAATACTGCATTTGCCAAAATATTATTTTTCATTTCTCCATACAAATTTGAATGCAGCATATAAAGTACTAATTTTCAATGTTACACGGAGGAGCTTTAACCAAAATTCAGAGTCATGAGAAAAAAACAAAGCACAACAGGAAATTGTTCAAGAACTCTAACGAAACAGTGGAGATCAATTGGTCACTAAGAAGTCGAGAAGCCTTCCCATCTTTAAACTATGTATCTCAGAACCATCTGGTTTTTGATGTAGTTTTACAATGCCCTTTTGTTTCACAAGTTCAAACTTTGTACAGTTTCTACAAAATTATTAAGAACCATCAACAAAACAGCAACACTTTGTGGAGTTGGAAAAGAGAAGATAAAAACCTTAAAAAACTCATTTGCACAATGCAAGATGTACACACTGCTGAAAATATATTGCTTAGTTTCCTGGTGTGTTATTTTAAACCAAGTTGTAGAAATTTATTAAGGAAAGATTTGTGCAGTGCTACTGTCTGAACATACTGAGTGATACCAAATGATCTAGGGCACTGTAACAGTTATAAATAACAATGCAACACCTTTTCCTTTGACAAAACTCTTTTCAACGTACCTCATAAATCTGAGACATTCGTTCCAGGAATTCCCGAAAGAAGGGTCTCAACCGTACGTAAACCTATGGAACATGTGGGAAAAAGTTACTACATTTCGCTACAGTTTAAATATAATATATAAGGCAGTGCTTCCCAAACCTTTATCCACCATGATGCTATTTCAGTGCTTGAAAATTGTGATGATTCCACAAGGAGACCTAGCTGGAGTGGGAAAGCTTAAACCCACGATCCCACTGGGAGCAATTTCCACACTTTGGGAAGCCCTGTCATAAGTGATTACAGCAGCATATTATCAACAATGGACAAGTTCCTCAACAAATTCCTCTAATGCCACCAGAATATATTTGTTTTAGGATGAGGGAGGAAAAGTCAGAGAATTAAAAAGAATACAAATGAGGTGCGTGGACATAATTAAAAATTTGAGGATTCCTTTGTACAACCAGAAATATCCTGGATGAAGCATGATTTTACCAACACCAATTAAGAAAAATATATCATCATTGTTATATTTTTTCAATAAAATATTTTCTTCTTAGTTTACCCTAAAGGTAACATTTTCCACTAGGTTACTATCCAAGGAGGGCCTACTATCCAGTGGAAGCCTGCACATACCACAATAGAACAGGCCAATGAAATATGTTCAACTGCACATTTCTGAATCTTGACTTCAGAGATGATTGCCAAGAGTAAACAAGCAAGGAATACAAAAGGGTCAAATGTAGTCAGGTATTTCCCAAATTTGGCACATAGCCCCTGGATAGGTTTCTCTTACCTGATAAATTACATCTTGGAAAAGGACAGGAAAGGTCAGGGCCGCATCATCCAGTTCATTGAGACTGCAGTGCACTAACGTCTCATCCTACCAGGGAGAAACATTGCAAGTTATCATGAAACAACATTACATCTTCAGGGAATATGGACATTAAATCATCAATTTAACAAACTGCAACTCAAACCAGAAAATGTCATGCAAAAGCCAAGTAAAATAATAAAATTCTTTTGTTAACCAATCAACTTCTAACACAAATCAACTGTAGAAGAGGCAACAATTCAAGAACATGTCTGCCAATTGAGGTCACAGATGCCTACGTTGACAGACACTACCCCATGCCATTATTTTTCCATATGCTTCTAAGACTAAACCCAATCTTATATATATAAAAATAAATGGTTAATTAGAATATTGGTACCACATCCTAGCATGGTAATATTTTATGGAATGAACTGTGCATCAGATTCTGTTTCAGTAATTATCTTACAAATCAAACTTCGTATGACTGCATTCATTAAAAAAATCTGCACGTAAAGTATGCATACATGTACTTTAAAGCATAATTTCACGCACCAAGTCTAGGACCAAAGAGAATTCAGGTGTACTTCTAGTTTTAAGTGGCAGGGCTGGCTTCCGACTTAGTTGCTCCTCTGTCAGTGGTGGTACATGTTTGATGAAGAAATACCTATTCAGCAAGCAAAAACAAACTATTAAAATGCATGGAAAAATGATTGACGTAATGAAAATAAAGCCCAGTAAGTAGCAGTTTCCAAGGGACCACTTTAAAAATAAATAGAGTACTTAGACTGAACTTCCAATTGTTACAACACCAAAGGAAACCAGTTGGCCCACTGAGTCCATGTCAGCTGTCAGTAGAGCATTCAGTTGGTCCACTTCCCCTACGTTATATGTGTTACCCTCAAATTTATTTCCCTGAGGACTCCATCTACTTTCTTTTAAAACTCGTTGATCCAAACTTTGGGTACGTTTACACTGCAAATAAATAATTGCTCAAACACAGTGAACAACCATCTTTTCACTTACAGCTCAAGTTTCAAATTTGCAGGTGCCAAGGTCTAGTTTTAGAATTCTGAGTGAGATTGGTGATCTGACAATGTTTATATATCATCAGCAGTGAAACTGAAACCGTTTGTTGAGATATTGAAGTTAATGTGTGAATACATGCTTAGAGAATGCATCAAATGTCACTTTCTCAGTGCAGGCTATGGAGTGCTTTCAATGTGCTAACAGGACTACCTTCACGGTCAATTTTAAAAAGCCAGGGGAAAAAATGTTTTTCTTGAATACTCAACAAAATGATATCAGCAAAAGTTTGCAACAATCACCAAACACTAATTTCAAAGATTTATTGTAGAGATTAGTAAGTCTGATGATCATGCTTTTCTGATGGCTGAGACAGGGTGAATGGTGCCCTAATGAGCACAGAAGAACATCTACAAATGCCTCCATATTAAACAATAATTTCAACCATTAGGAGCTGCTAAGCAGCAGACATTTGTTTGCTTACATTAATACAAATATGTCAAGCATTTTAGACAGCTTGTGTGAACTTCCAAACAGCTAACAGCAACCAAGGAGGAGGAAACCCTCGTCTATGGATCAAAGCAAGATACAGGAACCACCGATGACAGAGAGAGAAAATAAACTGAAACAAATTACTAAGAGGATGCTCAGTTCAACCCATAAATGCACAAACAGCCAAATGAAAACAAGCTAATGGAAAGTATAGTTAAAAAATGAACGCAAAACAGTGCAGTGTTGGAATTAAACAGGGGATGTTGCAATCACTCAGTAAATCAGGAAGTTGATAGTGTAATGTATTACTGATAAGTATTTTAGATGTATAGACAGCCAGCAACAAAATTTGACTCATTTGATCTATTCTAACAAAATTTTAAAAACCAACAGAGCAAAAACAGCTAGCAGCTCTGAAAGAAGAAAAACGAAAAGCAAGCCACTAAAACAATATTGTAGCGACACAGTACTCAATTCAATTACTCCACAAAACAGCTACTAGAGCTGTGTCATGCAATTAAGAATCCACTGCTTTAGTATTTGGACTCTAGTGCAAGGCTGCGCACTTATTCTTGGTCTTTTGTTGGCTAAATAACAGTTTGAGAAAATTGATTCTTGTAGGATAGGTTCTTAGAATGTTAATTTCACATTAGGTGCACTAAGGTTAGTGATTCTCATTATTTGCTAAAATATTAAGCATGGCTAATTGCAAGCACAGAATTCTTCCAGCTCATTCAGTCACTTTTCTATATGTTGCAAAGTGTAGCAATGACAAAATAGGCAAAGGCACAATTTCCATAGTTCTGTCTCAGCCATGGCACAGCACATAGCATAATCACATCCAAGTAAAAATGATTTGAGTTGAAGTCTCACTCCAGAAAAGTGAATACTAAAATCCAAGATAATATTCCCGTGCAGTACTGAAGAAGCACAGCATTGCCAGAGATGCCATCTTTCAGATGAGATGTTAAATCAATGTCCCACGTACTCTCTTAAGGTAGATGTGTAAGATTCCATGGGAGTATTCCAAAGGAGGACAGGGAAGTCATCACAATGAACACATTAACTGCTTTTATCACATTATTAGTTGGGGGAAAGTAGCATTTCAATAAAGCTACTGCACTTCAGAAGTGCTTAATTGGTTGTAAGATTCATTGGGATGCTCAGGTTGAGAATGGTACTATTAATGCAAGTCATTTTCTAAAGCAGTGTGCACTACATGTTAGCTAGTTCACTGCTGCTGTATTATAATCAAAGTCCATAGTTCCATAACAAAGTTAGAATTCAGAGTACACCCTCTGTTGCAACACGGAGATGTCAACATCTCCCTACTATGACAGCAGCAATCTCAGCCTCAACTCTAAACTGGTACCAGTTATTGCAGACATAAAAAATGTACCACAGAACTTAAATCTCACAAATTGAAAATAAATAAATGCTAGAAATAAATGCAACAGGATCAACACCATCCCAAAAAACATGTTTAATCCCTTCCAAATGTTAATAACTGATGGGTATATCAAGTATTTTTGGTTCTTATTTTCATTTCTAATATCCATAGATTTTTATTAATCTCAACTGCTGGTCAAATTTACAAAATACATGCCACTATCACACTTGCTGCAGAACTGCAGATTATCACTATCAGTACTCAGTACAACCAAAACTGCAATGATGGGTGACGTTAAAACATTGGCAAATGAAGACACTGGCAACACACTGTGCATTTTTTGTTGTAACCTTTCTATCAGCTTCCACTCTCAAAGCAATGTCTCCAGGAACAAGATTAATGTAGGTCAAATTCAAGTTCATGGTTTTCAAATCACCTTGCAAAAAAGTACACAGACTGTCCACTAGATAGCACTAGACAGCAAGTTCAGCACTTGCATTAACACAAAGCTTTACAATACTCAGACTGATTAGGCCTTCAGTTACCACTTTGCCTTAAAATTTACAGCAGGGGTTATAAGAAACAGAAGCAGATGGCCATACAACCTGTTAACATTGCCACAGTGTTCAACAGAGTAATGACTAATCCTCTACTTCAATTGCAATTTCCTGTCCTGTCCACATAGTACACCTAGAGTGAGAAAAATAAGTCTCCTCAATAAGTCTTAGCTGAGTGTCCAAATTCCTCTAGACGAAGACTTCTGAAAATTCATAAGCCACTGAGTGAAGAAATCTCTACTCATCTCAGTGTTAAATGGATGATCCCTTTCTCAATGGCTATTACCAAGGTTTCAGTCAGTAGAAAAGGATTTTCAGCTTCTCAGGATCAGAACAAAAGAACAAAGAACAAAGAAAATTACAGCACAGGAACAGGCCCTTCGGCCCTCCAAGCCTGCGCCGATCCAGATCGTCTATCTCAACCTGTCACCTATTTTCCAAGGATCTGTATCCCTCTGCTTCCTGCCCATTCATGTATCTGTCTAGATACATCTTAAATGACGCTATCGTGCCTGCCTCTACCGCCTCCGCTGGCAACGTGTTCCAGGCACCCACCACCCTCTGCGTAAAGAACTTTCCACGCATATCTCCCTTAAACTTTTCCCCTCTCACCTTGAAATCGTGACCCCTTGTAACTGAGTCCCCCACTCTGGGAAAAAGCTTCTTGCTATCCACCCTGTCTATACCTCTCATGATTTTGTAGGCCTCAATCAGGTCCCCCCTCAACCTCCGTCTTTCTAATGTAAATAATCCTAATCTACTCAACCTCTCTTCTTGCTAGCGCTCTCCATACCAGGCAACATCCTGGTGAACCTCCTCTGTACCGTCTCCAAAGCATCCACATCCTTTTGGTAATGTGGCGACCAGAACTGTATGCAGTATTCCAAATGTGGTCGAACCAAAGTCCTATACAACTGCAACATGACCTGCCAACTCTTGTACTCAATAGCCCGTCCGATGAATGAAAGCATGCTGTATGCCTTCTTGACCACTCTATCGACCTGCATTGCCACCTTCAGGGTACAATGGACCTGAACACCCAGATGTCTCTGTGCATCAATTTTCCTCAGGGCTTTTCCACTTACTGTATAGTTCGCTCTTGAATTGGATCTTCAAGAGGAACACAGAAGCAGGAACATCAGCAGTTCAATTCTGTTCTACAATTCAATTAGATCACGACTGAACTAGCAATAGAACTAAAGGCTTCACAGGCATCCCGAAAACATATTCAAAAAAACTTTGAAAAAGTAATTGGAAAAAGATATTGGATGCAAATGAATCGTTCTTCCAGAATACTGGCACAGGTGCAATGGGCTGAATGATTTCCTTGGGTGTAAAATTTTATAATTAAAGACAGCTCATTATCGATCATATTTTTATGCTTTAGTCTTCTTTCAAATAAGTGAAATTTTTAAAAAGTATATTTAGGTTAAAAGAAAGTCGTCCATTTATATGGTGCCTTAACAACAGCAGCACAATTCCAAATTTTAGAAGCACTGAAGTCGTTTTGAAGTGCAATCACTGTTGTAATGTCAGAAACACAGTAGTCAATTTGCGCAGATCAAGTTCTCACAAACAGTAATGGGGTAATGCATACATAATCTGTTTTTGATTCTGAGAATATTGGGAAAAACTTTGTTGCTCATCTTCAAAATAGTGCATGGGGCTCTTTTATATCCACTGAGGGGGAAGATAGGTCCTTGGCTTAATGTCTTGTCAAAAATACAGCATCTTCCACAATGCAGCACTCCCTCAGTACTGCATTGCAGCGTTAGCCTTCACTTTCATGCTCAAGTACTGGAGTGAGAGGCAAGCCGCAGCTCACAGAATTTATACATATCCAGTTTGTAACAGACAACTGTTGACACACTTACGGATCGAAAACTTCCCAGTCTTCTTCATAGCTTGCTTCTGGGTGAGCAGGTGGCTCTGGGTAAGAGTCAGGAGAAGATATCGTCTTGCAAAGTTCCACATTTGACACATTCAATTCTGGTGCTAAAAATTAACAAGTGCGTATGATAATTTATTTCAATGATGTTAAAATTTTTAAAGACATCATTACTGACTGAAATTATTCAACACATTCAACATTCACTTTACCTCACAACCTTTACAAAAACATACTTGCCCACTCTCTCTCAATTTTCCTTCTCCAAAAGATAGAAACTAGTCTGTTACAATTAAACCATCTAACCAGACCTCTCGATGACAGAACAACATACAATATAGGTATAATGGACATGATCGTTCCGCCAGACAACCAGAATGGAATGGTATTATCACTGCCTAGTGTTTAGAACAAGTTAGCATAGCAGAAAAATGGTATTTGTTGCTAATGGCCACTCCTTTTAAAACATTTAGTTATGGGATCGGAGGAAAGTTATTCTCGCAACTGCCTGGTCGAGGTCAGTCCCATTTATCCACCCCTAAGAAGTTCTGTGCATTTCAATGCCAACATATTGTACTTGATTCTAATCATGCCTTTTAATACATACATTTCACATCAGGATATGATTACAACGTAAAAGAAAACAGGTGAACTAATAACTTACTGAAAGGCTTTACTAAGAACCAACTTAGAAGTTTGTTATACTACAGGGACCCAAGACTTGGCTAACTGCACTGCTTGGGCTGGCAAAACACTTGGAAAAATTGTTCACTTCATGGAAATTCTGCCTGCAGCCAAACAAAGTTGTCCAATCCTCAAGCTACTTACATTTTTACAGGGCTGTCTTCACTCAAACTGAAACTACTCCCAAGCACAGCATTAGGCTTTCTAAGCAAAAGGCTATGTTTTATGTTGGACAGCACTTATACCTCAACTAATGCGGGTGTAGTGCCTGGAGTTCATCTCTCACCTTTTGGTATAAACTGATCCATATTGAGTGCGCAAATCTGGGAGCATTTCTGGCTATCAATGCACCGAACTAAGTATATTTACTGAAGACATGTCTTAATTTTTCTTGTATCATTCGTCAAGTTCCTAACCTTACTACTGAACAATCAACATAGAATTTGATATGATTATACAGTCAGGAAGCATTCCATCCGTTAGCCGGTTTGGATCAGGCACAACTGAAAATTGTATGCAGATAATTATAATCCAATCCTAATCATTCATAAGCTTAAATAAGGGCAAAAGTAAAGGTATGAAGACACAGCTGCAGAAATTAGATTAAGGGATAGATCAATAGAGATGCAGTGGCAGATACTTAGAGATATTTCATAACACAGATGAAAGTCCAGTGAGAAAGACAGATGGTAGGGAAAGAATGGACCATTCACGGTTTACTAAAGTAAAGGATAGTATCTTATTGAAAGAAAAATTGCTGGATACTGCAAAAGGATCACTGGCAAGTCAGAAGAGTGGACGGAATATACAAAAGAATGGTTGGAATAACAATGAGGGAGAAAACTAGCTGGAAAAAGAAGAACAAGTAGGAAAAGTTTTGACAGTCATCGTCTTTAAAAAGGAAAAGAATGAGTAAAGTCAATGTTTATACTCTACAGCACGAGTCTGGGGAATGGATAACAAGAAGGGAATGATTTGAATATAGATTTTGCACCTGTCTTAACTGTAGTGGACACAAACAACATTCTAGTAATGAGAGAGATCAGGAAGTCAACGAGAAGGAGGAAATTAGAACACTTATAAATTGCCAAAATAAAGATACTGAGAAAATTATGTGAACTAAAAGCTTACAAGTCCCCAAATGCTGATGGAGTTTATCCTAAGGTCTTAAAAGAAAAAAAAATGGTTGCTGAGATAGTGGATACATTGGTTTTAATTTTCCAAAAGTCTGTAGATTAAAGGTCGGTCCTATAGGTTGGAAAATAGTGAATGCAACTTCTTTATTCAAGAGGAGAGGCAGACAAAAAGTAGAAAACACAGGCCAGTTGGCTTAATTCCTGTCAAAGGGAAAATGATGGAATCTATTATAGAAGTAATAGTGGGGCACTTAAAATATCTCAAAACAATCAGGCAGAGGCAACAGTGAAAAAGAAATAGTGTTTGAATATTATTATTTGATCTCTTTAAGAGAGTAACAAGTAACATGGTCAATGAACAACATGTAAACGTGGTGTACTGAGACTTTCAGAAGACATTTGACAAATTACAACATCAAATTTACTCCGCACAATAAAAGCTCATGGTGTAGGGAATAACGTATCAACATGGATACGAGATTGGTTAACTCACAAGAACCAGAGAGTAGGCATAAATGGATCATTTCACATTTGCAAGAATGCCACATGGATAGAATCTCAACACTTTATAATCCATATTAATGGCTTGGAAGAGGTTATCAAATGTATGCTGACCTTGCTGATGACACAGAAAAAGGCAGTAAAATAAATTCTGGAGATTACTTACGGGGTTAACAAAGATAAAGATAAGTCAAGTGAGTATAATTTGGGAAAAGTTGAATCTGCCCATTTTGGCAGGAAGAATAAAAAAGCAGCACGAAATCAATGAGGAAAGACTGGACAGTTTCGGCCTGTATCCACTGAAGTTCAGATGAAAAAAAAGCAACCTTACTGAAATATATCATAAGCGGGGGGTCTTGAGAGGGCAGCTGCTGAAAAAACATTTTCAATTCTGGAGAGATCAGACTGAGGGGACACGGTTTCAAAATAAGATGTCTCCCATTTAAGACAGATGAGTATTTTTTCTCTAGGATTATCGTAAATTTCTGGACCACACATCCCCAGAGATCAATGGAGGCTGAGTTATTGACTAAGTTTAATGCAGAAATCACAAGGGAATCAAGGGTAGGTAGGAAAGTGGAGTTGAGGCCACAATTAGATCGGGTCATTGTCAGGTCAAATGGCCTAATGTTGCTCCTAATTCATATATTTGTATTCAAAGTCTAAATTAAAAATTAAATTTCTAAAATTAAATAATCTGAATCAACACAAAGAAAGCAAAGTTAAAATCCAAGATAAAAACTGTGAATTCAGAGGAAATTACTTTTGAATAGCCTGTAGCGTAAAGTTACACTGAACACGAATGTAAAAATGCTTAGAAGGCCCAGTTGAAATGGTGTCTGCTATTTTAACAGAAATACTAATCAATTTAAAATTATTACCTTATACATAGGAAATGAATTAATGATTAGATATTACCCAGTTATGCAGCTAAATGTATCCTTTCCATTTCAGTTTCTTAAACATGGATACATTTTTTCTAATAGTTGTTATTAAATTGCATGATTTAATGTTATGAATGTGAAACTTTGTTTAACTGAAAGAAAACTTTGCCAGCAGTATAAACAAGAATCCAGGCCAGTGCCAGAAGTCAACTAATAGGTTCATGCACATGAACATGTTGTGATGAGACAATGCAGTTATACAGCGCATGGTGAGCACTGCAGCTCACTATATTCCTCAGTAGGAATACCTGGCAACTAAAGATCACCGGGGAGCACTCAATTCGATTGTTGTCAGCTGCCCATAGAATACTGCAGACTAGTTAACAGAGGTGCTCAAGATCATGGGGGATTTCTATAAAGTACATACGGAAAATAATTTTCACTGATAGAAGAATCAGTAAGTAGAAGATAAAAAAATTATGAAATAATTACCAGAAAAGCAGGGGCAAAATAAAGATTTTTTTAAAAGCAGGAATTTAGGATCTGGAACACACTGCCTGAAGCAAATTCAACTCCATCTCTCAGGAAGGAATTGAATATACACATAGAAAGGAAACAAGTACAGCAATCTGAAGAACAGAAAGAATAATGGAGCGGTAAAGAGATGGTACGGTATGTTAGGTCAAATGGTCTCTTTCTGTATTGTGTGATTTTATTCTCTTTTCTAGGGTGTGACAGAAGGTAGGGAAAGTCTCTGTTACTGAGCTTAATTAAATTTGAAGGGTGTTAAGTCTGCACAGCAGGTCTGGCAATCCAACATATAAGGTAGAAAGATCCATAACACTTCCAAATCACTGTTGACAACTGACCAACCACCTCGACTCACTGCTAGGATCTGAACAGTAGAATTATCACTGATGGCTACATTCCTATTTCACTTACGATCAGTTCCCCTACTGAAGCTAAACAGCTTCAGGCAAGTCAAAAATATTTTAAAAACCTGACTACGAAGCATGGTCGTTGCTCTAAAACAATAGTGCTAATAAATGTGCAATTTTTACAGGTTAACCTCCAGCAGAACATTAATCAGCAACCTCAGTGTTCTCAAATATCAACTCTTAACTGTGACCAGGTGTGTAAGATAGGCTCTTGATTTATAGGAACAGAGATGCAGAGGTAGTTCAGGCAAACACAAACTCACGGATCTTAAGTAATTTACAGTCCTGATGATTAATGATGATTTTCATCATGTCTCAGTGAATCAAATTAAAAAATATCAAAGGATGCGGGTAATCTGCTAGATGCAATAAACTTTTATCATTGATAGTCAGACTGTGTTTGTTTTAAAATAACTAATAGATAAAACACTTAAAGCATGGCTAGAACCATAAAATTTCTTTATTAAACTCAGCCAGTAGGAATTTAAAATCTGAAAGAACTAAATCAAATATCAATGTTCTTCATTAGTGAAGGAATTCTGATTTTAACTTAGTGTAAAGTATGCTTACATAACCACTTCATGGCAACACGAAGTGAGCAATGATGGAAAATTCAATCACTTAAGAACCTGGCTGAACTCAGCATAGAAAAGAGTTTGAGATGATAAACATGAGACAGTCTGGTATCTGATTTCTGTCCCATAACAATCCATCTGCAGCCCAAAAGGCTCATTCTCCAAAAGAACTTGTAAATACAAAGAACTATTAATTTAACAAGTTTTCTGCACCTGGCATGGGATGAAGTTCATTGGTGACTTCGTCCTCTACGTTATCTGAACTGCTGTCAGGAGACAGATGTGATTGCGCTGTCACTGCCTGGCCAGAATACAGTCCTCCAGTGGCCGATGTTGCCGTGCTTGTTGTGATCTCATCCACCTGTTCCAATTCCAGTTGTTTAACAATTTCTTCAGCCTCTACTGCCTGACCTGGAGAGTCAGAACCTGATGTTCCTGTAAATAATCATAAAAGTCAAATCACATCACCTAATGAAAGGGTCATTCACCACAGTGCATTCATCATCATCCTTTGAAATTACGCATATTCACCAAAACACTGCAGCCAGAAGGGCCAAAGAAGGAAACAATATTGGAAAAACTATTGTTTGCTAATAGTATTTTTCCTTCTGGATCAGAAGTTTCACTCCAAGATGTGAGAACATAATCAGGGATGACATTTCATGATGAGGCTCCGTCACATGCACTGGTCTTTGCATGAGCGGATTCCATGACAGATTCAAAGGAGCTCCATTTTCCCAGACATCTTGAATAAAATCCTCCTTTGACATCTAAAAGTCAAGTTAGGTTATTATCCCTCAGTAGTCTGCCACATATTGCTACTTGTAAAGCTGACATGCTTGTTAATGGTAAGTCACAGCACTTTTAAGACAATGTTAGAGAGGTAAGAGCACTTGAATTTAGGTAAAGCTTATTGTTATAGGCAACAAAGACACAGTAACAAAGTCCGACAACAGAAAATATTTTCTGCCCACTCCCCATTCCCATTCTAACTGGTCTTCAGCCTCCAATACTGTTCAACACGACCTTGTAAAAGTAAACCTCATCTTTTGATGAGGCACTTAAGCACATTCCACAGTCAATAATTTCAGACAGTCATTCCAACTCTTTTTTTTTTTGTTTTCCTTGCACACTTTGTTTTGCTTTGTTTCCAGATTACTGCTGCCAGTAAGGAATCTGCTTTTTCCCAGTTATTGCTCCTCCAGGCTAAGTTTTGCTCCTTGATTACCCTACAACACTCACTTCTGCCTTGCAGTCATCCAGTTGTCACTTAATTTCTCCTATCTTATCACTGGCTCCCTTATTCTTGCCTCTTACCACCACCGTCACACCTAGCCCCTGAAAATATATCACCCACCATATGATTTTGAAAACTAAATTGTGAGGGGTTTTATAGATCAATTAGGGATGAAATATTTCTTCTGGCAAGTTTATGATAATTGAAAATAATTAGCCAAAGAAAGAGGGAAGATGAGGAGACAGTTCTTCACTCAGGGCGTGTTAGTTGTTAAGATCTAGAACACACTACCTTAAAGTTTGATGGCATCAGATTCCTTGGCAACATTCAAAGAGCAACTAGTCATGCTCTTGACATGGAACAAATTTTAAATGAGAAAAACATTGGGAGCAGGTGTAAATGAACTGTTCTTTCAAAGTGCTGAAGCATGCACAACAGACCAAATTGCCATTTTCAATGCTGTATGATTTTAATACACATAAAGCCTACCATATCAAATTCACTCAAATATCTATTATATGTGCTGTTTGATGACATTAAAGTTGCCATAGTCCAACTGGACCATAGGACTTTCATTAGAGAAAGGGAGAGTGAAAGAGAGAGATGACTGGTGGTGGTTTAGCCTGAGGACTGCTACACACCTGAGGCAAAGGGAGAGGCTGAGGACAGTCCTTCCTGGTAACCTCAGCCAGTGTGGGAATTGAACCCACACTGTTGGCACCACTCTGCAAACTAACCATCCAGCCAACTGAGCCAACCAACCCCCTTGTTGACCTTAACAAGGCATCTTAAAACAAAAATGTGCAATGACACTACATTAAATAATTTATATTACTGGACAATAATTTTACAAGTGCCCATCTGCTTTTGACAAAGGTATTTAATTTCATACTTTACCATTTTTGTTTGCTGGTGAGAAGAAACTGAAAACAGGAGAAAAGATAGTTCCCAGTAAGGCAGTTCGTGGAGGGCTGACCACATCATTAACAATTGGTAGTTTCCCATTTTGTTTACTGCTGTAGCCTACCGTCTCTAAAAAAAAATAAACAGACTTTAAAATTTGATGTAAACATTGCACAGAAGTAAATAATTATGTAAGTATAAAGCTGCTTCAGTCTTCCACAAGACAAAATCAAGTATAATGTTTCAGGGCAGGGAGAGGGGAGGAAAGAAAGGTGGCACATTGTAAATTTTAAACTTGCACAATATTTTGTCATGTCCACGGCGTTCACTATTACTTCAGAGTGTAAGATTCGTTGCTCCATGCAAATCCATTTTACAATACATCTGGAGAAACACAGAATTCTGTAAAACCAAAGGTTTTATTGGACTATAACAGCAATACAGATTTATATAGCACCTTTATCATTGTAAAATTCCCATACTAATCATACAGTCAGATGCCTATCAAATCTTAGTGACAACATTCAGTATCATTTCTAATCAGACATGGTGTTTGAGACTGAACTGATTGCATATTCCCCTAAAAAGCAATTCTACAGTGGCACCCAGCCACAATGTCAACATCCTGACCACTATCAAATGGACACTATGTAATGATTGCATTTAATGTACTTGTAAATTAGTTAAATGCATGCTGTGATTAATACATCTTAATTTAGTTCTCATTTCCTCTCCAAATGTCATGCTCTTGCTCATTCTCTCTGCTCCAATCTTGCATGTACATACTTAGCGTCCACACGATTCTCATGTGGGGCATCTGTCCATGTCAGTTCCCAACTTTCTTAACCTATCATCCACTCCAATGTGGCTTGGCCTCAGAAACAGAGCACTGAAACACTAGGCTGCATGCTGTCTGACTGGCCTAAATAGCTTCAAACAGAAATCTCAGAAATGTCTGCAGGCAAGGAGGTAAAGGATTCTATATATCATAGCTCAACATCCCCTGACCTCTGGCTGACACAACAGCAAGCACTGAAAAAGTTAGGTAATTATCCCAAAATCTACAATTCATTACCTAACTATGACAGATGGCGCACATGAGATAAGTTACTTGTCTGACCTGATATATAGAATAAAGTATTATTTGGTAGAGTTTGTACATGTGGAATAATCACCATGAAGGCTGATCCAACACAAAAGAATCATACATGAAAAGCAAAGAGAATTGGTGGCACAGCAAAGGAAAGAGGTAAGGCACAGCAAAGCAGTGGGGAAAAAACAGAAAGGCTTATGGTGAAGAGTAGAGGAAGAATGAAATCTTACATAACTAAGATAAAAAGAATGGAGACAGTAGAGGGAAGACTTACTTTTACTTTTGTTCATGAGAAATGCTACAGGATGCCAACCAGTTTTACATATAAAGGATTTAACTTCACAGAATAATCGAGGGAAAGTACACAATACTCACTGAGGAATAAGTGAATTATGAATGGCTCATTAAAAAATTACCATAAAAAATTTAAAATCTTGAATTTGTTCACTTTTATGAACCAAACTGAAAGCTTTCTAACTAAAACAATTCTTGCCCTCATTATTTTGAGATGCAAACATAAATCAGGAATTGTCTTTTAAGATTTCTCCTATCCACATTGCATCAAATGAGAGAAAACACAGAAACCTCCAAAAACTATGGAAAAATCTGTTGGATTTAGATCGATATTGCTCAAATTTATTTTTTCATGTATTCACTCACAGGATGTGGGCACTGCTGACAAGGCCAGCATTTACTGCCCATCCTTAATTGCCCTTGAGAAGGTGTTGGCGAGCTGCCTTCTTGATCTGCTGCAGTCCATGAGGTAACAGCCTATGTAGTCCAATTGGGTACAAGCTTGGTTACAACGCATATAGCTCACTTTTAACAGCACCTTAAGCATCACTGAAATGAAAGAGAAAATATTTACACAGAACAAACTTGCTCGAGTAAAACATCCAGCAAATTTAAGTTCCAAGGCTGGTGGATTTATAAACAAGAATTGGAATCAAGTACTCTATGCTGCTCTTTACGTTCAGGGTGTAGAGTAGGAAAACTTTTTTACTGATCAAACTACCTTAATTTTGGGGCAGTTATTCACAGCTGTGAGTTAAAATGCAGATTATCTGTATGCTTATTCCTTCTTTTCTCAGAGGTCAAACTTGATTTGAGGCAGCGGAAGACAAATCCTGTTCAAAATACACTGGATCATTGGAAACATCCGGCTTTTATGTGTCTCTTAATAAAACAGGAATTATAGTAGAAAATTCTGTGCAGTGCATTTTTACTTCTTGGAAAATAGTAGGTTGTTTGCTCAGGAAAGTAAAGTGATCTCTGAATACAATTGTCACAATAAGGTAGGTACATGAAGGAGGAGAACACAAGAGCACAAGTTTGTTGTATCTAAGCCAAAGTATCACTGATCAAACACTCTGGTTTTGTTCATGTTGTAGGTGCCCTTAAACTTCTTTCATTTATCCCAACTACTGCTGAAACTGCTAAATTACACTGATTGTACAACCTACAGAACATATAACATGCACAACAAATATACATTCCCAAACTTCATATTTAAAAGGCATAACAGTTTTTTTTAAATCGCCCCTTAAGGGGTCATTTGAGGACAGGCTCAGCAAGTATTCATTTAAGCTACTTGGAATATTTTCCCAAGTGCACGCCAATACAAATATTGTGCATCTTCTCTCAATCTCACTCTTAAGAAAGAGTTCCGTTACCTACCTCCAAGTGCAGCAAAACACATACACATCTTTCAATGCACAGGACTCAAGAGGCCGATTTTGCCTTATTGAGCTCTACATTAATTTTCTCAGACTATCTGACCTTCCACTGGTTTTAACTTATAAATGGGTTTGTAGTCAATTACCTTGATTTAAGCTGTGCAAATTAGTGCCATCAGATGCTATTTGTTCAAGGTATTGGCACAATTCTTTAGATGCTTCAAAACAATCTTTTCTGATTGCTATACAATTGTAAAGTGTCTCCCAAAAACATATATCACAGAATAAGGACTAAGTGTGTCACATCCAAGTATAGTGTAGTAAGTTTAACAGGGAACATATGGTGACTAGATTGCAGAATGGGTGTGATTTTGTAAGTGAAGCTCTTCTGAAGAAAGAATATACTAAGGTAAACTTTATAAATATCCAGTAACTAAAGTGGAATTCCTCAATTTTGAAGTTGAATGCTTAAAGTGAGAAGTGTTCCGTTTTTCATTTTAAAGAGAACAAATCAAATCAAGTATGCAAAGAATGATAAAGAATATAAATAATAAATAAACACTGAAGAGAGGTTATAATTTAAAATATTTAAAAATGCAATAGTTTTCACCAACTGAAATTCTCCTACTGAACATCTATTTTCTTTGAAAGAGTTTGATTGGGTAGATTCTGTTTCAACTTCCAAAGAAGCTGTCATTGTCATTTAAGAATCTAATAGGAGATCCAAGAGGAATTTCTTTACCCAGGGAGTGGTCAAAATACAGAACTCACTACCACAAGGCATTGTTGATCAAACAGCTTGGATGCATTTAAGGGATAATCATGAGGGCAGATGAAATAGAACAGTATATTGATAGGGTTAGAAAACACATGTATGTGGAATCTAAACACTGACATCCTCCCACATGACCGGCTTCTGTTCTAGAAATACTTAGGAATGCCTTTAACTTTGTAAATCATTCTTCAGTCTATCGTGCAAAAGGATGGTTGTCAAATGACATCAGAAATTAACATACACATTTCAAAATGGTACATTAATGAGGTTTTAAGACTATGATGCTTTGGAAATGTGTCCTTAACTGAAGGTAGAACGAAGAGAGTCATGAGACCTGTTTTGAAGCCTGCCTGACTATAAGCTTGGATGGTTTGATCATTAAAAATTAAAGGGGGCCCACAGTGTTTTACTGGACAAAAAGTACAAGATATTTACAGATGGAAACAATGGCACAAGCCTGAGTGCTAACAGTGAACAGACTGACAGTCTCCAAAACCCCAGAAAAATGCTCAGAATTCCACACTGTGAACAGTTGTGCATCAAACTATCCAATCACTTGCAACACAAAAAAGAATTGGGGTGTCAAAGATAGCTTATCAGCATTCCTACCTAGATACAAGACCCATGTGATTCATGCTGCCACAGACATAGGCTTTTAAATGGGAATGGATTACAACGTATCTTTGAAAGGTCAAACAATGACAGAGAGAGCAGCTATAAGCAGCAAAACATTTTTGTCTACCATCTAGTATTGCAGATAGTAGTTAGTGCTTGAAGAGACCAAATTCATGACATATTGAAACAAGACTTTAAAAATTCTCTGGGCTTCTAACAGAGAAAATCTGCAGCAAAAAAAAACTTCATTTGTGAAAGACAGTTCTGAGATTAAAAGCATTCAAGCTGAGATATGAAAAGAATAGAAGGAAACTCTTGGGAGGTAAAAAACAAGTTTGTTTCCAGAATTTAACATTTACTTAGAACGACAGTGTAAAGTATGTGTGCAAAGTTCGTTTTGTTTTTGCTAAGAAAAATGAATGTTCTACTTTGTGGTTTAAAGCAGAAGCTGCTTACAAAGATAGTAGGAACTGCAGATGCTGGAGAATCTGAGATAACAAGGTGTAGAGCTGGATGACCACAGCAGGCCAAGCAGCATCAGAGGAGCAGGAA